GGAAAGGCATGAGAGAGATATTTGTGGTAAGGCAGAGTTACACTGTCTGGAGTGTTTGAGGAAAATCACATTAATTGTTCCAACATCTGTGTTGAATTACTGAAATTACTGTGGCAGTAATTTTGGTATTATTAGTAGTAGCAGTGCTAATAAATACTGTCTGAATTGCAGAAGTGTAAGAAACCACTACTCAGTGCAGGTCACAATTTTTTTGGATGATTCCAAAGGTTTGGAGGATTCCAAAGGTTTCTCCATGACCAAAAACTGAAACTCAAGACTGGATGTCAGAAAGAGATGAATCATTATATGCATTCTGCAGTGAACTCCAGAAACTTTATCTTTTGTTGTGTAAAAGTGCAGACTAGCTTAATTGTTACATATTTATTTTATGTACTTACTTTTCAGTGTTCTGCTGTTAAATTACAAAATTCACATAAATAAAGTATTAATTATTTTTAATAACTTCACTACAAAACTGTGATCTTTAATGATTGTGACTGTTGTAAGACATGGAGCTTTTACTGACTAAGTTATCTCTTCTCTAAAAGTAACCTTCCAATGTAATTCCTGTTTTTTTTTCCTCACCATTGCTTTGGAAGAATTAAGCAAATAAGAGCATTTGACACTCTTCTGACAAGTGACTTCTGTCTTATTGTCCACTCATCCAAAGTCCTAATATTGACCTAGATAGTGTAGTCTTCCCCCTCCTCTGTGTGTAAGAAAAGCTACATCTCAAAGTGAAAGCACTGCTTTTGCCATTTTGCAGGTTATAATATTGGTCTTGAAGAGTTAAATTGCCTACTTATAAAGGTAGTTAAGCACTTGCTTAACTTTACCTTAAGCTTGTGCTTAAACCTATCCCTATAAAAGAAATCACTTAGGAACATCTGGAGAACCAGTTGCTAGGATTTAAGTTTTGATGTTTTTTGACTTGAAATGTAATTGAGGTTAATTACCATGCAGATGTTTGCATTGAAAGGCTTGCCTCTCCCTAAGTCAGGAATTGAGTTTAGCTTTCCTACTAAGTTTTATTTGGGATCATTCTTTATTTTAAAAGTAAAGCTTGAAAGTTCATAGTAACATTGTTCTTTAATTTTTTTCCTCCCAAAATGTTTTCCAGTGTCTTGTGTTTGAAGATTCACCACTTGGAGTCAAAGGAGCCCTGGCAGCAGGAATATGATTCCAGAAGAAAAATTAAATCCAGATCTTAAAAAGGAGGCAACACTACTGCTGAACTCCATGGAGGATTTCAAACCAGAACTGTTTGGTTTACCACCATATGATTAATATTGATGAACATGCACTTGACTAGAGATCAAGAAAGTGGAATTAAATTTTGTAATGATTTTCCATTTTTTTTCTCTCTTCCTCAAAATTGAGGGACAAAAATCCTGTTAACACCAAGTCTTCCACACAGTACTCTTGAAAGTTGACTGGAATGTTTATGATTTCTCCTTGTAATAAGTGCTAAATTAAAGCAACTTTTCATCTAGTGAAGTGAATCCAGCCTTGTTCTCTGTACGTCATAATGTTTTCTGGGAAAATTATGAAACTATTTAGACAATTTATTGTAATTGCATTGAACGCTTCTTGTTCTGTTTCCACTTGAATGACTTATTGTTTAGATCTTAACCAGAAATCTGTTCTGGATTGGCTTTTATCCCACTAAATTGTTTTTGATACAGTTATCACTACCAACATGTTTATCCATTTCGTCATCCTGTACTTGTCTATCTCTTCCTCTTTGTATCATGCTTCTTTGGAGTGTTTTTTGCAGTTATTCACCGGATTTTGTTGTACTTTCTATGTTTTTCTTTTGGGGGGTTTAATGAGATGACTTCCAGAGGTCCCTTACAAGCTTCATTACTGTATAATTCTTTCATAATCGTTTTTGGCATGAAGATACACTGCTAGGAGCTATACAAGGTTATGTGATCCTAGAGTTTAAACAAAATGCTTCGCATCTTCCTTCCTTTTTTTCTTATATTCTTCTCATTTTCCACTTTGCCATGTACCCTTCCCTGTCAATCTTGTGAAATGAATCTAACCTGTCTTCCTCCTTCAGTTTTGGTAAAGTTATGGTCCTAACTTCTTCATGTCCAAATAGGGTACGTTTCTGTAGGCCATCCTTACTTTTCCATTCTTTCTTCTTTCCTGAGCCCTTTTTTTTGCCAAGTTCTTTACAGAGAGTTTTGTTATCTGATTTTAAAACACAGAAGTTGTAGTTTTGGTTTATTTAATTACTTAAAATGTATTTTCCTGGCTACCATAATTTCCACAAAATGTTTGTGTTGTCATCTGTCCTTCTTACTTCTCTCTGTTTCTGTCATCTCATCAGGACAAGGGTAATGGTCCCTTTAGAGAATGCCATGTAGGCAGGTTTTGGTGGAATCTGACTTAACATGAGCCAGCAGTGTCCCCAGGTGGCTAAGAAGGCCCAACACCATCCTGGCCTGCATCAGGAATAGTGTGACCAGAAAGAATAGAGGTGATCGTGCCCCTGTACTCAGCACTGGTGAGACCACACCTCTAGTACTGTGTTCAGTTCTGGGCCCCTCACTACAAGAAGGACTGAGGGGAGACCTCACTGCCCTCTGCAACTACCTGAAAGGAGGTTGTAGGGAGGTGGGAGTTGGCCTCTTCTCTCAAGTGAATAGTGGCAGGACGAGAGGAAATGTCCTGAAGCTGTGCCAGGGGAGGGTTACACTGGATATTAGAAATAATTCGTTTACCAAAAGAGTGGTTGGACATCCCTGGAAGTGTCAAAAAGCAATATAGATGTGATGCTTAGGGACATGATTTAAGCACTGAACAGGTAGTTTAGGTTGTGGTTGGTGGATTTAGGTTATGGTTGGACTTGATGATCTTCAAGGTCTTTTTCAACCAGGGTGATTCTGTGATTCTGTAATCCGCAAGTACATATGTGACAAAGTGAAAACAGTATCTTTTGCTGTGTCTAAAGAAAGCTGTATTATGTGGGGTTTATGACTGTTTTATAAAATGAACTATTGTACTCTGCATTTAAACTGTACTTCTTATTGTGTCCATAAGATACTCCAAAATCTTGGTAAGATATCAAAATCTATAAAGACAAGGAGCATGAAATATGTCAAATAAGAGAATTTCTGTGTAATATGAAAAGACTTCTCTGACCTTTTTTTAATTTATTTTGTTTTAATATAATCTGGTTTTTATGATCTTCCTCACAAAAATCTTTCCTAGGCATTTCTGATGTTTAACTGTTTTAGGTTTAAGGTTTTTTCATCAGGAACAAAAACTAAGGAATCATAGACCCTTCAGTATTCAGGATGAGTCCTTACATTATATTTTTTTTCTTTCTGTCTGTTTTTGGTGGGTTTATTTTTTTTTTGCATATTTTATGTAAACTTTTTATTTTCTGATACTGTAGTCAGTTCATGCCTCGAAAAAATAAGAATTTTTTTTTCCCATATGATCAATCAGGTATGACTTAGATGGTACAAGAAGATTTTTAGTACATATAGTGTAATTGTTTACAGTTAACTGCTTTTTATTTAAGGACCTGGAAGCATTTTTTAATTTTTTATTTTTTTTTAAAGGATAAATATTGTTTCTTTGTAGGTGTTGCATATTATGTTATTTCTTTAGACCTATGGATATTGCAGCCATTAATGTTGGTACAGTGACAATACCCTGTCCCATGGAATTTAAATTCCATTTCTGGTCTTTGCAGGCAAGATAACAGAAATACTGCTACATGATTCCTACTTGGAATAATGTTTCATAACTCAAAGTGTTAACTCAAGAGCAACAAATCTGAGTTTTAAGTGTAAACTATGTTCCTGTTGGGATCCCCTTTGTTCAAAATTACTGAATTCCAACAGGGAAGTTACTAGGTAGAACAAGCTTTAATAAGCTGTAATTGGTAACTTTTTCAAAGTTTTGTGTATATTTCATTTAATTGGGGAGCTTTACAAAAACTAAAAAGGGACCACATGTCATTTGCCGTTTACTTCAAAGTGTCTGTCATTAAAGTCCTAAATTTTAAAGATGTAGACATTAATAAATATATCACTGACAAAATCTGAATTATTTCATCACGACCACCATGATGAGAACAGCATCTCCTGGTGTTCTAATTTAATGCCTTATCTTTTGCTGAGAATTAATTCCAAAAACTATCACTTCTTAATAGCAAGGTCTATCCCATATATGCTTTTCTTCCATGCTTTTAGTATTCCACCTGACAGTTGTCAGTGAGAGTATTGCACCAGACTGAAATCTGTGAACGTGAGTTATATGGTATAACCTTCCACTCCATTAAGTAAAATTCTCTTTCATGTACTTTACTGCTTGCTGTTGGCCAAATTCCTGGTCCTGTGCAGAACTATTATTTTACTATTTTAAAAGTACCAGTGTTATGGTTAGTGTTTCTCTTGACCAAATGAGAAATCAAAAGAGTACACAAAATTAAATTCTAAAAATCCTGTCATCTCCATCATATGTGAGGTGGGTATTCATGTCAGCAGTAGGTGACTGTAGCCTCATTAACCATATACCAAATATCAACATATGTTGGTATGTATTTCTTTACCCACTTTTTGTTGGATTTATTAGCAGTGTAGTGCTGCTACTTCATTTCAATCCTCTTAATCCCACCTGTAGAAGCAAGAATGCATCCTGTGCTCGAATCTGATGGGGCAAGAATATCTACCAAATTATAACAGTAGTTTGTTAAGCAACTGTGTATGTGTGTGCTTCCTCTTGCATCTGCTCATATGTTATAAAGACAATATGACTTTACAAAGCTGCTTAGTATTCAGGAAAAAAGATTAACAAATCACAGGGTGAATTAAAAGGTTGCTGGTTGCAATTTAATCACATTCCTTTTGACAAGTATATGAGGAAAAAATCTTTTGCATTTTGAAGTGTGGACTTTGATATGTCACCATGAAAATCAGACCTTTAATAGCAGTGAGACAGAACTTGAAAAGTATCTTAAAATTCTTAATAATCAGAGAGAAGAAACACCAGTGAGCAAAAAATAGAAAGCTCATAGATAGTTAGTAGTTCTTAAAAGACCAAAGATTGCCTCTGAAAACAGTTACCGGATAACTAGCATTTCTGTATGATAACCAGGATCTATAACCAAGGCTATACAAGTCAACCAGCACAGAAAGCTAAAACTCCTGATAAGGGGAAGAGACATCTCTCCTCAGCTGCTCTGTTTCTATCTTCAGGGGCAGGGGGGAAGGATTTTTAATTTTTTTTTCCTCTTATATTCCTGACTTCTAGAGCCTGCAAGACGGGTATTAGAATTCTGGTGATCCAGACAAGCCTCACTTCCAGCTTCGATGTAGGCAGTACCCAGTGTAGCACAAATCATAGTGCCAGGATAAAGAATAGCTGAGAACCAAGTAAGAACTGAAGATGTGGAAAGGACAGTCCTGTTTCTTTTAGCATAAAGTATTTCTTTGTCATCTAGGTCTTGCCACAATTCCGGAAGCAAAATCAAGCTTAGAAGTTATCAGTGAAGCGGAATAACACTTGATAGTACCATTTGAAGTAAAAAGATCTACCTGGAGAGAAACACCTCAGAACACCGAGAGAATCACAACACAACCACAGCTGAAAATCCTCGGCCATTTTACCAGTACACAGTGAGTTACCGCAGGATGGTGGCAATAGAGAGGGAAGCTCAAGACTCCAAACATGTGAACATGGATGACTGCCTGAGGAAAAGGTGTGAAAAAAATGGAGAAACCGGGAAAAAACAAGCGGAGAAAAAAAAAAACACAATGGAAAAAAACTGAAAAAATGGAAAAAAATGGAAAAAACTGGAATAAACCAGAGAAGACCAGGGAAAAAAAGGAATAAACCGGAATAAACCAGAAAAAAATGGAAAACTGGAAAAAAACAGTTCAAACCGGAAAATGGAAAAAACTGGAATAAACCGGAGAAAACTGGGGAAAAAAAAGGAAAAAAATGGAATAAACTGGAATAAACCAGTAAAAACGGAAAACTAGGAAAAAAAAAGCAGTTCAAACCGGAAAAAACCTGAATAAATCGCCTTAAACAGGTTAAAAATGGAAAAAATAATGGAATAAACTGGTTTAAACTGGGAAAAAAATGAAAATAATTGAATAAGACAGAATAAACCAGAATAAACGGAAAAAAAAACAACTGAATAAATCAGAATATACTGGAATACACCGGGAAAAAATGGAAATAACAGAAAAAAACCTGAATAAATTGGAAAAAAATGGACAAACCAGAAAAAAAACCATAAAAAAGAACAAACTGGGAAAAAATGGAAAAAACTAAAAAAACGGAAAAAAAGGGGGAAATGGAAAAACCGGGA